TGGGCCGTTTAGTGTAGTGTAGCATAGTGGTCCACAATCTTTGGGACCTGTCCAACATCAGGTAGACTCTATACTCCACTTAATGACTGGTTTATGTGGAAGATACAAACCCTTGGATGGGTGGTTTTTGACGGTCAGGTTTTATTTCAGGGGATACCGGAGGCTCAAAGTTATATTTTGCAATTTTTTTGTGTGTGACATAATGAACAAAGTTTTTTTATAGATTTGTAAGTGTGATTTTTTTTTGAAATTTGAAAAAAGAATGAAATGACCCAATGGCTTGATGGTGCGGTTGTTGTTGTTGTTTGTGGGCTATTGGCTGGCAAAAGTTGATGACAAAGTTTGAAATCTTTGGAAGCTATTGGAACCGTGATGCTATCAAAGAAAATAAGGAAGATTATTGGCTTTTTATCAACAATGTGGAGAAAGCTGGCCAAATCCTTTGGGATTTTTTTTATCCACTTGGAGATGTTGCCCTCAAAAAGAACCAAGACTTTATGATCAAACATAATATCCCTGGGTTCTACAAGCCAGAGCTTCCTGATGAAATTCAACCCATTCAAATTTGTTTTCTCCTCAAACTTGACCTTCACATCAAATTGATTTTTCAATCATCCACACAAAGACACAAAAAATCATGCCTCCCTGCCGTTTTCCCTTTTCCTTTCCCTGCCAATCTCAAAGGAAACCGGCCTCCTTTTGTGTGGAGCCAAGGAATACAACGTAACCAACAGTCCTTTATTTTCCCTGACTATCAATTTGGTATCAAGTTTTGACCCAATACTATGTGTCAAATAATTTTCAGCCAGCGCGGATACTCTCATTGCACTCTGCCTCCAACAGAACCCACCTCATTCATGAGATTGGGTGTGTCTTTACAAATCTCTGCAAGAATGGTGAACATAGGTGAACATATCTGAACAGATAGCTGGAGCCAAATTTGAATACAGAAAAGATATGCACATTGCAGGGGCTAAACATAGCTTGCACATGTCAAATAATGAACTAAAAAAGCCAATTTAATCCTCATTGCTTTCTACTTGAATATACATCTCCCTTTCATATATATATAGCTGCACACTTGTTAGTCTTGTTAGTCTTTCAGAGCAGATGCAGTTTTCAACTGGCTGTCATACACCTTTTCTTTACTAATCCCACACACAAGTTTATGAGCTATCACACTTTATTTTATTACCATTGGTGCCTCTGACTCATCCATACATGACCGGCCTGGATCCAAATCTGAAGTTGAGTAAATGTATGAGATGTTCCAATTAGGTAATCTTCCAAAGGTACCTGAGTTCAGCCATGAGATTATGAAAAGGGAAAATTCCAAGCGGGAGGGAAAACTCATGAAGAGAAGGTGGACTTCATTAGGGAACAGTATCTAAAAGTTTGCAAGTGGCTCAATTGAGGCCCTTTTCTTTCCATTGCAACAACCTCAACTGGAAGATAATCCTGATGGTCTTCCCAGAACTACCAATACCCAGGAAAGTATGCACCGGAACTACTACAGGCTCAGGTAAGATCAAATGCCTCTTTGCACTATCTGAAGACCTTTAAATAAACCTCATTTATTGGCTGTGATTGCAAGAGAAAACAGTGCATTATGGTTGGAATGGTGGACCTGTTCACGAAGAAAACTGGAAAGCTGCATTGAAGGGGATCCCAATTTCCTATGGAGCCAATCCCATCACCGACATTGGAACCACCCTTGGGATTGCAAAGAAACACAAACGTGGCCATGAAAAGGTCATCAATAATGGAAGGCCACCAGACACAACAGACAAACTTGTTGATGGAAAGAAAAAGAAAAAATTCAAGCTTGGGAGACCGCCAAAGGCAACAAACTTCAACAAAAGCCTCTGGTCAGCTTATCCATCCTACCAAACAAATAAGGACAACACAGCTTGAAGAAACCACTGCTGGCTTGCTGCAGGTCTTGAATCTCGTTACACAATTTTCGGCCCATTATGGCTCTATGGAATCAGTGGTCATGGGAAGGATGTCTTTACTTCTCATGTTGATCAACTGGGGAACTTAATTGCAGCAAAGCATCTTTATCAACTGGGAAACTTAATGGCAGCAACACAATTTGATCAACATGACATTTGATGTACTCAGTCCTAAATATCCAGGACATTCCCTTCCTGGCGCGTTTTCTTCTTGCAATTGCTTCCTTGAGGTTGCATTGGATCCCAAACTTCATAAGAAGATTGAGTATAAGCAGCTCCTCTCCATCAATGAACAAACTACACTCTCACACCATCACAGTACATAAGTATACACACCACTTCACTATCTTCTGACATGTTGACACATGCAGTGTTGGTCTGGAACCACTCAGGATTTACAAGTGACATCATGCAGGTTGTCATGTCATTTGTTATTCTTCCTTTCAGCTGTCACACTATCTCACACCACTCATGTAATCTTCATCACCCCATCTTAGTTTGCAGACTAGTGCATGACCTCATGTAGCATGCTACACCAGCATAAAACCCTCATGTAGACTCCTAGTTCAAGCTAAAATGACTCTTGTGACATCATGAAGGTTGCTCAACCAGCCAAAATACCTCATGTACATGTCCTGGCTAGCTAAATTCCCTCATTGTAATGCTCTGGCTAGCTAAAATCTCTCATCCTCTTGCTCCCTTGAAGCCAAAATCCTTCAGTGTTGCATTGTTGTCTATTGAAGGAGGCTCTCCTCCCAGTTGTTTTCCCCCTCAGTTTAGTACCCACAAATCACATACCCCCTACCACTAACATTACATACTGTGACAACCCCTATAACATCTTATAACAACCCTTACACTTGTAATACACACTAAACTCATTCTCATACTCTCAAAACCTCTTCTCTCACACAATTGAATTGTGATCAAACAACTTATTCTCAAACCAACCACCCCTATCACTTGATTAAAACTTGCCAAGCTGAGCTTGGTGGGTCTTGTTATCTGATAGTACAGAAGGGCAGAGCTTGCAACTCCACCATACCCTTCAACATTCAGCAAAAGGGTTCTCACAACCACTTTTGAGTCTTACACCGTATCCCTGATTGTCACCAAATTCAACCGCTGCAAGTCATGCACAATTCTCAAGCTTGTCTTAT